CCCCCATCTCTCTCTGTTTTAAATCTAGAATTTTCTCAACAAAACTTCAAAAAATGACTTTAGTATTGGTAGCATGACGATGACAATAGATTTGTTACCCAAATGTCACCACAACTACTCGTAAAACTTTTCGTCGTCCTTTGTGCATCGGCAGACCGCCCCAACTGTACACAGACGATGAAGATTTGGACGAGATGCAGTCAACACAAGGCGTGAGTAGCTTGTCGATATCTACATAATATTATCTTGTCGTTTCTTGGAGTACTTCACAAAAGACGAAAAGTAGACAGAAGGTGCGATGAACGTTTTCAATATTATAGTGGTCGCCTTGAATGGATTGATTTTTACACTAGCGTATTCACAGTTGACACCGACTGTGTCAAACAACGGTGTACTTTACGCACCATATCATTTTATAATTGTTATAAAACTATGATGTTAGGAATACCCCTCACCCTAATCAAGATTGTGAGGAAAAGTAACAACGTCCGTAGATAGAACTTAAAGGAAGTTTCCATCTAGCTTTCGTAAAGAATAAATCATAACTCTTGCACCATCTGTTTCCTTTCTACTTCGGTGTCGTACTTTATGTTCGAGACAGTCAGTTGCTCACTCAAAACTCGCTGCACGTCCACTGGGGGGTGGGGGTGGGGGAGGCTGGGGACCAGATTAGTTCCATCACATCACACTTGTACTTGCGAGCTCTTTGTTGGCTCATATTGTCTTGTTGCCAGTTGTACTTATGTGTCAAAAGTTACAGCAAGTTGGATGACTAACAGAACTAAGGATTCATCTTTTGAGTAAGAATTTTAAACAATTAATATACAATTGACACCAGTGGCCCAAAGCCGTACCCAAGCTTTTACACCTTAAATATTAAATATATGTATGACATACTTAGTACCGTGTGACCTACACTGTAACACTGTGTTACAACTCAGAGGGTGTGGGTGAAACTGGTGAGGGGAGGAGGTCAGAATGAATTGAGTTCTTTTTTAACAAGTGGATAGGAATGAATGTTGCTTTTTGTGCATCGTAGACACACATGTGAGTTTCAGGAAGAAAGAAGGTCGGATAAAGGGACAATATGAAATGAGAAATGTGCAGCAGTCATTCTGTGAGCAACTGGCCCGGAGTTCAACGTTCGTCCGATTACGCTACCTCAGAATTACAAAGTTCCATCAGCTCAGTACCTAGTTTTGACAAATTTGACATAAAACATTTTGAGTCTCACAATATTTCAAGCTTTTTCAAATGCAATTCTTTGATTTTCTGGATAACGACTCAAAATAATCCTACGATTTTGACAGAGTAGATGGAGCATTCGATTTGTGGCCTAAATACTTGGTCTAAGTAACTCTAAACGGTCAAAAATGTCAGATAGAACTAAGTAATTCTGAGGTAGCGATTAGTGTAGCAGCCACCATCATAGAGCGCTAGTCGCAGTTGTCTACCTGTGTGCACTGCTCATGCTTGTTTTGGCTGTCTGTGCAAATCGTCTGAAGTACTTTGTGATATTGAGTGGCCCTTGTAAAAATCCAATGGATTATGTTTGTGGATGACATGACTTGCACTGTAGTATGCTTCCCGGAAAGTTGAGACTGTTTCAGAATGCTGTCATGTCTGCTGGGGTAATCATAATATAGGTTGTAAAGCCCATAAAGCTTGCTGTTGAGTGGGGATTGGCGTTATACAAATAATATTAATCGTTATTAAAGAAAAGTCTCTTTGTAACCCTCTGTTGTTAAATCTGACTAAAGCGAAAAAAAGCTTTAAATATGAGTAAAAGAATACGAGACTTCTTTAAATAGCCTCTTGCAGTCAGTAAATGGGAAGGTACAATCACAGCCAGTCATGTAAATCTGCACACCTTGTACTACTGGGCGTGAATACGATCCGAGTTCCCATATCCTTGCATGTCAAGTTTCAATATGTTTGACATATCATTTTATGACGTTTTTCTGTAAAATATGTTGGGTTTTTTAATTGGTATCATTCCACCCAGCTTTTTTGTACCACAGAGAGTGTCGATCGTTGTTGTGATATTGTGATTTACTGTTGTTTTCTTTTTTAATTTTATTTTTAATTCGTTGCTTCCGGAATCAGCAAGTAAATTTGATACACATCAGGATAACTATCACTATATCTTAGCTATCCCCCAAAACATATATCACGTTTGGCGTCTAACCCAATTCTGTTGTTGGCAATGCCATCACTTTTGCCACCACTATCACTGCCACCTTCATGACTTCCATCAACAGCATTGTCTGTTTGAAACAAAACTCTCATCAGAAAAGTACGAGGTTAGATTTTTTTTAAGTATTGATAGTTTCCATGCAGCGGCTGCAATATTGGCTTCAATCACAAAGGCAATACACATGATTCATCTATAACATCTTTTCTCTCGCACCAACAACTAGGGTTTCATGTGACGTTGCTCTTGATTAAGTAATTAATCTGCTTGCTCACATTACACGAACTGTCTTTGGGTAAGAGAATTTAGTGAAGGGAGGGAAACTTACTTACTTGTTAGGTTGGAGAATAGGTATCATTGCAGGCGGTACAGTGCCATAGCTGCTCCTCCCTCCTGTCCATGATCTATGAAACGGTCTGCTTGTTGATCTTGCTAGTTATTAGCGGGTTGGATATTGAGGATATTAACGAAATATTCGCAGAACCTACGTTGAACGTGTTCCGTGGGACACTGCTTTTGATGACCCGCGTTTTGGCGGCTCACATTCTTCCGTGAACGCGAAAACGGGCGATGACATCCAACAACATACTGTGCGAAATCCCCGTATATAATTATTAAGCGAACTTAGTGACGTGTCTGGACTTTCAGTTTGCCGGCCGGCAAATATCTGGCTTCTCCAGATATCATGTGACTGGCCTTCGATATCGAGAGAATTTCTCGTTTCCGCGCTCAGTTTTACCGGGAAGTTGACAGGATGCCCGCCGTTCTTTCGATATCCTACAGTTTGTCGATCAATGAACTGTGCGTATAAATGGGGCTTTAGATATTATTTTGTTCATTCATTCATGTCGTGTTGCTGCTTTGGATGACGAGGGATGAAAAAAGGGGTGGGGGGTACACGTCCTCCCTGGTGTTCAACTTGCCTATTTCTTCACTCCTCCAGCTTCTTTCCCTCAAACCTACACAGGGGTTGAAGGGCAGGTATTCTTTTGAAACAGAGCTCGAGCCAAGTAGAATGAAATAGTTGTTCTCACACCATCCCCATCCTTTTATCTAAACCCCACCCTCTTTTCAACCAAACTCCACCTTTTTTCTCACAACCCGTACCCTTTTTTTCAACCCCCACCCTTTTTCTTCCAAACCCCACCCTTTTCATTCAAACCCCACCACCACCAACATGTTTGTTTACATTATTATGTCTTCTTTGCCCCAGCTGTAGTAATTGGCTTGTCATCATTTCCCGCTTAGAAGTGTTGGAGCAAGTCACACCTCGAAAACAAGGGTTGTCATACAGTCTGAGTTAATATTGAGAACGTTTTGTTTTAGTTTTTGGCCTGGGTATATCCTGATAGGCAGGGCTGAAGCAGCCCGATTCCTAAATGGCACAAGTTGTGTTGAAGACGTAACTAATTTATGACCAAACAAAAGTATACTGTCAAATCAATTGTATTGGCCTAAGATTATCTCAATTATTTTTTTATAATTCCTTTTTGCTTTTGAGGGTGGGGGGGGGGGGGGA